CCATCGAGAATCGCTTCGAGCAACTGAGCCGCCCGAACACGAGATCGGACGCCTAAGGGAATTGGAGGCGACGTGGCCCCCGAGCGGCGGCCAAAGTCTCCTGCTTCGATAAGAAGAGATTTCCTCCGGACACCCTTTGTTCATTGCCGTTCCATGTTTGATGCGGCGGTGGCCTTTAAATTTGCGCGAGTGATGCGGCGGCGGCGGCTATCGACGACGCTGGTGCAGCCATCGAGCACGCCAAAGGTGATAGCACGGTGATCCCTTCCCTCCAATCTACTTGCGTCAGCTGCGTCTCACATTCTCCAATCTTCTTGCGTCATTTGCGTCTCACCGAACAAAGGGACTGGGATCCGATTCAGATGACATGCCTCTGGATCAGGGCTGGACATAGCCTAGGCTTAGCCCATACGGTACCCTGATGAAAAAACAATTAATAAAAAATAATTATTTGACAAAGCTGCTTCGAGATCCGTATAACATTTAGGAAGAGCACCAGAGTGGTTCTCAAAACTTTACATGAGAAATCCAAGGAAAAAACTCATAAAAAAGAAAATAGTGCAATATGATGTTTGTAACAACTTATTAATTAGAGAGACTCTTCCTGATACTTGCAAATCTCGGAGAGGGGGCGGCGGGGGACACCTTTTGAGATTATTCTCTAATTGATCTAATAATAATTGTCAACAAGGTGAAGGCCACCCAGGAAGGACCTCTTGAGCCAGCCGGGCAACGAGGCCATAGGCCCATAGACAAGCACCAGGCGATTTTTTTACTTTCATATTACTTATATAAATTAGTATTTTTTGCAAAAAAAGAAAGAAAAGGTTTCCCACAGAATCTGGCAAAATGTACTGTATTTCTACGTCTTTCCAGGATTCAGGTGGATGAGCCAAAGCCAAAGCCGCTAAAAACCCTGTTAACCAGGGCGAAGGATTAACCGACATGGCTAAAATCTAGAGGTTGAGATTTGGCGTGGCACGGTTGGGGAGGGCGTGGTTCCAATTGGCAACTGAAGTGGCTAGAAATATAACTGTACTAGGGAAAGAAACAAGGAAAACTGCTTTATGATATTACTTGAAATATGGCCCGGTTGGTTTGTTTTATAATCCGTATTTTTTCAGCTTGTTTTTTCAATTGAACAGATTTTTTCTCTCACAACAAATCAGCCAGCAGCAAGTGTTTCGTGTTTCGCTTGTTTTTTTTTAATAAGCCGAACGGGACCTATGTATGGTGTAAAAAAGGGGAAATATCTGTATCACATAATTGATAACATTTCCTTATATATGTTGAAGTGCATGCAAATGAAATAACGGTTACGCCGCTCGGAGAGTGGGTATTGCGCTGCCCACCACCACCACCAGTAGCAAAACAACAATAGGCCCTGTTTGGTAAGCCTCGGCTCCTCTCCGCTCCGCTCATCCGAAGAAGCCCTACCAAACGGCTAGAGAAGCACTACCAAGCGGCTGGAGTACCAAACGGCCAGAGAAGCCCTACCAAACGGTTTGCTAAGAGGAGCCATTTGCAGCCATTTTTTCAGTGAAAAAAATGAGAACCCTCCCAGACACACCCTAACTCCAGGCAACACATTAACAGAAGGCAGTAACAGTACAAAATAACATCACCGGCATGGCATCCAAGACAAGAACGACACCAGTGCAGTGAGAGCACCTGCTAGTGTTGCTCCACCCCGACACAGCTAGTGTTTCTCCCAGACTTAACCTACCAGGGGGATAACCATTCACCAATGATCAAGCTTAGGGCAAGCTCGAATCATCCTGCCCAATTCAAATTGGATCCAAGTTCTCCAATCGCGGAGAATGAAGCTTGTTCAACACTCCTGGTCCTCAATCAATCTGTGTCCTCACGATAGCAAATAGTGTATCCTTACTACTACCTACTAGCTGTACAAAAAGCACACGCTGAAGCAGCCTTCACGGGCCTTTTGCAGCAGCGGCAATGATGTAATTGGTGGCTCCGTCCGCATCCAGTTGCTTCCCTTCCACCAGTCCCCTTATCAGAGTGGCCGCATATGTCTCCGATGGAGGGGCTAAAGGCAGCTCACCAGACTTGAACCTCAATATCTGATGCAGGGCACCTGCAGACACCAGAGGAAAATTAGTTAAGAATCACATTGCAGGAAAAACATATTTTGACTGCCCTTCAAAAGTTGCATTCAACTGCCATTTGATTTAAGGCCCCAAATATGGGTGCTCGTGTTGGAGTGAAAGCAAAAATATAGGCCAACAAAAGTAGAGAAATATCCAAATCAAAAGTAGAGACCCTGATATAGGTGCTCATGCTGGAGAGTTGATCAATAAATAGCTTATCTATTATCAGTGGCGAATCTAGGATTTTGTCTCGTGGTATGCCGCCAAAAAATTTTCATATACAATTCGTAAATCCATTTCAGCAATTCGCAATAATTGTAAAATTGACAACATGATTCGGTATATATGCACTAAATAACACAATAAGGCTTAAATTCATGGATTAAGTTCAAACCATCCGCTAAGTATAATATAAATAGTTCAAAAGCCATATCAATAATTGAAATAAGGCATATAAAGAGAACCAGAGAATTACAATGCTATTTTTGTGACTATTTTATTCGACGTTTTAGGGACATAAATGTGTTGATTATATCATCTTTATCAACTTCAAAAAAATATTCCGCTTCAATGAAAGTGACTAGAAAGTCATCCGTAAAACTATCTCCCATCTTATTTCTTAACTTTGTTTTCACAAAACCATTGCGTAAAATATCATTTCAACACTTGCTGCTGCTACAGTGTAGAAGCAATACCAATTTGAGGAGCTCATAAACCATATCGTATAACTTTGTGCCTCTTTGTTTCAACAAGCTTAACCGAGAGATCAACAATATTGTGTAGACCTTTGAAGCTATCATCATGTCTCATGTCATCAATATAATTATCTAGTCAAAACTCAAGTTTGAGCAAATTATTATTTGAAAACTCCTTTGGGTAGAACTCAAATTAATCTACGTAGCTTCCAGGCATCAAAAGAAGCAAATGACTTGGAATGACTAAAGGCCGACATACATGACAACAACTCCATATTAATCTCATCAAACCGATTATCAAGTTCTTGACTTATTTGATCAATAACACCAATATATACTTCTCTTCTAAAGTGGTCATCATTTGTTTGCTTTTGGGTACGAGCTTTCCTGGCTGATTTTCCATAAGGAACATAATCACCATCCATAGCAGAACTTCAACACCATGTTTATCGCAAAATGAAGTGACCTTCTCAAGAAAATTATCCCAACCGTCAGACCTCAATTCTTGCATTCTTTTCTTTGCCACATTAACAAGTGATATTGCATTAAGAATATCTTAGTCCCTTCTTTGCAAACACTCAGATAACTCATTTGTATATCCAAGAATAATATACATTAAGTGTGCAAAGAAAACAATGCCAAATAATTAAATAAATTGCGCTTGCACGATTGAACTCTCATATGCGATTATGGATCACTCACATGATATGAGTAATCGAACAAAAGATCAATCAAGATCGACTCGATGTTGAGAAAATCGTCAACCTCGCCAAGGTGATAGATGATTCTATAATTTTAGCGCTAACCAATTAGCAATTAAAGTACACATGATTTTTTTTAAAGCGAAGAACAAAGATTGAATCTCACCGTAACAATTGTGATCACAAATTACCTAGATGCCGCCGGGTGTCCGGTGGCCGTTGCCGTTCGTAGAGGGCGCCATGAGGCCAAACAGACACGAGGTCGGAGGTCACGAGGACGACAATGATGGCATCAAGCGGCTGCGCGCGACCACGACACGTGAAGATCCGTATGACCGTATTACGGTATTAGCGTCGGCCGTCGGCGTGATCGGGCGTAGGGCGTGGCGAAGACACGGTCGAACCGCCGATCCATAATTCCGTGATGGCCTTTGTCCCGGATCCGCTCGCTGCACGGGCCGCCTTGGCGCTTGGGCTTCGACGCTGCCGCGATCTCGCGGAGACGTGGAGTCACGGCACGCCACTCGCTTCATGACTTAGCACGCTCGGGCTCGGCGCTGTGGACTCAGTATGTATGCAGAAATACGATATATACTTGCTCTCACGAGGAATTGCGGTATATGGTACCACCATAGCTCCGCCATCGTCTACTATAGCTAAGAGCAACTCAAAGCAGGCGCCTACTTGAGTCCTCACAAATAAATATGAGTGCATAAACAAAAACCGTGCTCCAAAGAAAGCCCCTACTTGAGCCCTAAATTTAGTTGGATGCCCAAATCCTCCCCAAAGACCCCATTTATAGAGGCTCATGTCCAGCCCCCCATCCTATTGTTGTCTTCGTTTCCTTCTCCCACTTTCAAGACAGACTCTGCCTGACTCGTCTCCCTCGACGCCTGCCTCCCTTTCCCCTGGGTCTGCGTCCGCCTCTGCATTGCCCCAGTCAAGGGCATGACGCCTGCTATGCCTTTGCCTCGCCTCCCTCCTCACATGGAGCGCCTTCCCGCTTGCCCCGGACGACAGCGTGGTGTATGGGTTCCAGAGCCACAAAGACGTCGCCCCTTGGTGGCGGCGCCGCCTTTGCCTCTGTCGGGAATGGAGGTGGTGGAGGGTGGAGGATGGCGGAGATGGGAGAAGAAAAACTGACCTGTGGGCATGCGTCGTGAGTGGGGGGGGGAGGAAAGAGAAGTAGCAGTGGTATTTTGGTCCATACGAAAATACAATGGCCTTGTGTCACTTGTGCGTGGGCCCAATGTCATTAATACGTAGAAAATTCGCTTGAACTTATCACAGCCTTATCGACCATGAAACAGCCGCTTTTTCTCTCATAATAAATCAACTTCACTAAGCTTACCGTCAGAGAAACCATTAGCCAACGGCTTTGAAGCTGGATAAGAATTATAATAAGGTTCTAAATAGACGAAAAAATAATGGTATTTCTACCGACTTACAAAATTACAATGATACAATAAAAAAAACACCATAAAAGTTCTTTGTCATGAATGGACAGATCTCCGGCGAGCCATCAGCTCGTGGATCAGCTTTCCGACATCGTCATACGAAGTGCCGCCCTTGTCTGTTGCGCTCCTAGCCTTCCCACGGAGCTCCATAGCCTTTTTCCTTATCGCCTCGGCCTCTTGGTTCCCACCCATCACTCCGTCAATGGCTTCCGCGATTTTCACACCGCTGATCACCTCGCGGCGGACCTCAAGGTGGGAGGCATAGTCGCTGGCACCGACACCGACCCCCATCTTGAGCACCTCGACGACGAGCTTCTCGTTGTAGAACTGGTCAGCGTGCCGAGGCCACGTCACCAGCGGCACCCCAGCGCTGACGGCCTCCAGCACCGAGTTCCATCCACAGTGCGTCACAAACCCACCGACAGCGGAGTGCTCGAGGATAAGCCTCTGGGGAGCCCAACCCCGGAAGAGGAGGCCGCGTGCTCCGACATCAATCAGCTCGGCGAAGCCTTCGGGCATCCATTCCGATGCATCCGCCGTCGTGTCCGCTCCTCCACACTTCATGACCCACAGAAAATTCTTGCCGGACAGCTGTAGGCCGCGCGCCACCTCCCGCAGCTCCGCCGCCGAGAAATTGGCTAGTGTGCCGAATGCGAGGTACACAACTGAGCCGCGTGGCTTCTCGTCGAGCCACCGCAGGCACCTGTCCGCCCCGGGCGCCATGTCGTCCTCGCTGGCGTTGGCGTGGGCGACCGGGCCGACCAGCCACACACGGCGGCCGAGCGTCGTGCGGTAGTGCTCGACGTAGTCCGGCTCCAGCTCGGCGAAGCTGTTGAACACCTCGCCGTAGCTCCTCCGGTCCGCGGCGTGCACGAGCTGGTTGTAGTCCCACTGCAGCTGATCCTTTCTTGGGTCCATCACTTGGCTGCGCCTCAGCGCGACGCGGTGCGGCAGCTCCGGCAGGGACACGACGGCGTCGGGGTCATCTGGAGCGAGCGCGAACGGGTTGTTGCGGAGCAGGGATTCGTTACAGGCCCGGGCGAACAGGCTGCTCCCAAGGAAAGACAGCCGTGGATGCCGTGCTCGGCGGCGACGTCCGCGGCCCACAGGTAGAAGCTGTCGACCACGACGGCGTCGGGGACGGGGTGGTGCTCGGCCAGGAACCGATCCAAGGGCTCGCGGAGCCGCTGGACCCCTTCCAGCAACTTGTGGAGGTCGGCCTCTGAGGAGATGCCTACAACGCTCCTCGACGCCCGGCGGGAGTCCGACATCAGGGAAGGGATGGTGGAGATGTGGATCGCCAGGGCGTCGGTGCCGCGGAAGGCGTTGTTGGCCTGGTCAACGGCCGAGCGGATAACGGTGGCGTTTACGGGAGTGGTGAGTATGGTGCACTTGATGCCACGTGAAGCAAAGAGGGCGGCCATGGCCGCGACCGGTATGAGGTGGCCAGGCGCAATAAACGGGAAGAAGAGAATATGTATTGGCTGCTGTTCATCATTGGAAGCCATGGCTGCTTGGCAGCGCCCTTCTTCCTTTGCTACACAGTTAAACAGATCAGAGCTCAGCTGCTCAAGTATCTTTGGCGACAAGATTACATGGGCAACCTTGGTTGGACTTGGACATCAACCATCCACGTCACTCACAGTAGTCCAGTCCACCTCCACCAGGACAGGTGTGTTAGACGTGGAGAGCGAAAGAAAGCCAGCGATGCAAATGATTGTCTTTATTCCATTAAGCAGTGTTGTGCATATATATATATATATATATATATATATATATATATATATATATATATATATATATATATATATATATATATATATATACACACACACACACACATACATATACCGGAACGAGATAGATAATTACAAGTCTAAAAGAGAGAGAGGGGTGAAAAGACACTCTTTGGAATTATTCCCTAATTGATCATTAATAATAATTCTCAACACTCCCCCTTCATTAATTAGCTCCTTATAGTCTTCACTGTTCATCTATTATGCATCATTATGAATCTTTGGGAAACCTGTGGGAAAAACAAAGTAATACCTGTATACCGTGAAAAACTTCTTAAGACCTGGGAAAATAAGGAGAAACACAATGATATACAATCACCAATGTTATTAGGCCCTTTGAGATAAACTCAAAACCTTAGTCCAAAAAAACACTTTGATCATGTGGTCAATATACGCCAAATATCATCTTCCAAAAATCATGTTGGGGAAAAAATAGATGATAAGCATATAACTTTACATTGACATTGTCTCGTAAAAAATTTTTATATGAGAAACCTCAAAGGAAAAATTCACATAAACAAAAAGAGTACAATGCATATCATGTCTCAGCATCGTCCACCAAAAACCTCTTTAGATAAAAATGGATGTTTGACATAACCTTGTATTGATATTGTCTGGTTAAAAACTTTGGCTTCTGCTCCGGTACTCCTCCTCAAAAAAAAAAATGCACATATCTCAAGGCAGTCCAGTCAAATAATAAATTATTTCTTAATTATTTTTCCCTGGTTCCTGCATGGGGTCGGCCCGTTCATGCCCAGCCCTTGCCTAGTCCGGACCCAAGCTAAGCTCATCTCGCCCCCCGTTCCCCTTCGTTCGGATTCCACTCGTTTGGTTTTCTCGTGCGATAGCAGCTGGCGGCGCGGTGCTCCACGGATGGCTTCTCATCTGATCTCCATTTCCCTCCGGACACCCTTTGTTCATTGCCGTTCCATGTTTGATGCGGCGGTGGCCTTTAAATTTGCGCGAGTGATGCGGCGGCGGCGGCTATCGACGACGCTGGTGCAGCCATCGAGCAGGCCAAAGGTGATAGCACGGTGATCCCTTCCCTCCAATCTACTTGCGTCAGCTGCGTCTCACATTCTCCAATCTTCTTGCGTCATTTGCGTCTCACCGAACAAAGGGACTGGGATCCGATTCAGATGACTTGCCTCTGGATCAGGGCTGGACATGGCCTAGGCTTAGCCCATACGGTACCCTGATGAAAAAACAATTAATAAAAAAATAATTATTTGACAAAGCTGCTTCGAGATCCCTATAACATTTAGGAAGAGGAGCACTGGAGCAGTTCTCAAAAAAACTTTATATGAGAAATCCAAGGAAAAAACTCATACAAAGAAAAAGAGTGCAATATGATGTTTGCAACAACTTATTAATTAGAGAGACTCTCCCTTGATACTTACAAATCTCAAAGTAAATTTATACCAATGCCCTTAACACATAAGAAATCTGGAGTATGGTAGACTCTGAGAGAGAGAGAGGCGGTGAAACGACACCTTTTGAGATTATTTCCTAATTAATCACTAATAATAATTCTCGTTGGGAGGACACGTATGTATGAGCATTGAGCTGAGCTTGTCCCCAGCTGGTCGCTTCCAGCAAAGCAACTTATTCACTGACCTCGCACCTAAGCCGCGCTGGCCAAAGAAAGATTCTTCAGAATGGCATCCTGCCCATGACCACGGCCTACACTACACAGGACCAAAGTACTCCACACTGAAGAACAGAACGCTGTGCCAGAGTCCTCTGCTCCTGCGAGATCCAATCGTGGAACAGCTCACGACAGGAAGGCAACAGAGCACTGTTACGACCGCGGCGCACGTGGCCCACACGTGAGTCCCCCCGGAAAAGCTGAGCGGTCACTCACATGCCCGCGGGCCCGCCGCCCGGTCGAGCCACAGCGCGGACGTTGGACCTGGACGTCGCACCAACCGGCACCCTCCTCCAATCCTACCAATAAGCGTACCCCACGACAGTGCCCCGCACCGCACATGGGCCCAGCCGCTGCCCTGTCCCACCTCGGTGGCATCTAACCTCTCACCGGCCCGAGGGACCAAAGCTAGAGAAACCCACCTGTCAGTGAAGTTAACCTGTGGTGGCGTTCACCCGGCCCAGCGTTCAAGCTGAAGGCCACCCAGCAAGGACCTCTCGAGCCAGCCGGGCAACGAGGCCATAGGCGCATAGACAAGCACCAGGCGATTTTTTTACTTTCATATTACTTATATAAATTCGTATTTTTTTTGCAAAAAAAGAAAAGGTTTCCCTACAGAATCTGGCAAAAATGTACTGTATTTCTACGTCTTTCCAGGATTCAGGTGGATGAGCCAAAGCCAAAGCCGCTTAAATCCCTGTTAACCAGGGCGAAGGATTAACCGACATGGCTAAAATCTAGAGGTTGAGATTTGGCGTGGCACGGTTGGGGAGGGCGTGGTTGCAATTGGCAACTGAAGTGGCTAGAAATATAACTGTACTAGGGAAAGAAACAAGGAAAACTGCTTTGTGATATTACTTGAAATATGTATGGCGTAAAAAAGGGGAAAAATATATGTATCACATAATTGATAACATTTCCTTATATATGTTGAAGTGCATGCAAATGAAATAACGAACGTCGCTCGGAGAGTGGGTATTGCGCTGCCCACCACCACCAGCGGCAGCAAAACAACAATAGGCCCCGTTTGGTAGGGCTCAGGCTTCTCTCCGGCTCATCCGAAGAAGCCCTACCAAACGGCGGAGAAGCCTTACCAAACGGTTTGCTAAGAGGAGCCATTTGCAGCCATTTTTCAGTGAAAAAAAGGAGGAACCCTCCCAGACACACCCTAACTCCAGGCAACACATTAACAGAAGGCAGTAACAGTACAAAATAACATAACCGGCATGGCATCCAAGACAAGAACGACACCAGTGCAGTGAGAGCACCTGCTAGTGTTGCTCCACCCCGACACAGCTAGTGTTTCTCCCAAACTTAACCTACCAGGGGGGATAACCATTCACCAATGATCAAGCTAGGGCAAGCTCGAATCATCCTGCCCAATTCAAATTGGATCCAAGTTCTCCATTCGCGGAGAATGAAGCTTGTCCAACACCCTGGTCCTCAATCAATCTGTGTCCTCACGATAGCAAATAGTGTATCCTTACTACTACCTACTAGCTGTACAAAAGCACACGCTGAAGCAGCCTTCACGGGCCTTTGCAGCAGCGGCAATGATGTAATTGGTGGCTCCGTCCGCATCCAGTTGCTTCCCTTCCACCAGTCCCCTTATCAGAGTGGCCGCATATGTCTCCGATGGAGGGGCTAAAGGCAGCTCACCAGATTTGAACCTCTCAATATCTGATGCAGGGCACCTGCAGACACCAGAGGAAAATTAGTTAAGAATCACATTGCAGGGAAAACATATTTTGACTGCCCTTCAAAAAGTTGCATTCAACTGCCATTTGGAAATGAGAATTTTTTGGGGGGAAACACTTGATGAATACAATGAAACTCACGTCATAGTTAGAATTGGAAGTTCATCCTCATTCCCAAGATAAAGTACATTGGAGTACCAGCTATCCTGCAAGAAATTCATCCAACAGACATTAGATATATTCCATAACTTTTGAAACTCAGTATGCCACATAGATAATACAACAAAAATTAAACATGGTGTCACAATTACACTGATAAGGCTGGGTTTGAAATTAGTCCACTGATGACATGAAACTGTTTTTTTTGGGTGTGTTTTTAGCTTACTAAAATCAGGCTTCATTTCAACGTTGCTTACGATGTCAACAGAGATTTTGGCGCCCTGGTAACCTGGTCACACAATCATTTCTAAGACCAGTGAACTTGAATACTCAAAGAGGCTGGTTCTGCTCCTTGCTAAACAGATCAATATTAACAATTCCTACAGGGATCAAACTAAAACTTTAAAGGAAACACTCAAGGTAAAAGTGATCTATATCGCTATGGGAGAAGGACTTGCCATCTATCAATAAGCTCTTAGAACGGCAGTCGTCAGCCTGTCATACATTTAGCAGTGATGTTTTCAACAGAACACTAGTACGGTGTTATTTAATCTCATTAAAAAGCATATAAAAATTCTGTACAAAGGGAAGGGTACAATTGTAGAAGTGGGACAAGCAAATCAAACCTTAATAGGTTCAAGATGAATAGCTTTGTTTGTAGATATAAACTTGACTTCAGATGAACCAATCAAAGGAGAGTCAGGATACACAACGTTTCCGTCTTTGCCATCCTCCAGCACTAAACGGTTCTCCTGAAACAAGATGTCATTGAACTGCTCCAACCTGTTGAAGACAGGCAAATCAGATGAGATGCCAGGTACTAACAGAATGGCAAAATGCCACCCTGCCTAAATTGAAAGATCAATAACGTGTCAATGTAACAAACATAATGTTATTTTGTACATGCAGACATACGACTTCTCATTGTAGTTTATCTCAGGGTTGAGAAAAGCAACACCACCAGTTCCCCAACAAGGGGTAGACGATCTACCGAAAAGCAACCTGTGAGGTACAGTCTTCCACATGGTTCCTTTTGGTGAGCTTGTGTCACGTGATCCGCAGCACGCTATACTCATACCCTCAGCCTGCCCCAGATCAAAAGGAATATCAAATTTATCTCTTAAAGCATACTGCTTATATAAGATAAAAACATCAAGGACTATATTGACAGGAACACTGGAAACCAATTTATTCCTTAAGTATTTGCATATATCCCAAATGAATCATGAAGGTCACGAATGCTGTGACATCAAACAAGCAGACCAGACTGATAAAGGAACCAATGCTCCATGAAAAAAAACATTGAGTCTTGAACTTTACCTTCCCTCCTTGAACATAGCATAGAAATCTTGGTCTCCACATGTTTGAACCAAAACTGGCATACCAGACATCAGTTCTTGATAAATCTGATCGCCAAGCGAGAGATAAATCAGATATTCTTTTGGTTAGCACCACAGATGCATTGTTTTGTACTTTTACTGAATCAACTAGATGCTGTTCTGCTGCTGAGCAACTTGAGGTAGTCTTCACTGAAAGGTTGTCATCATCAAGTTTCATCTTTGAGAGGTGTTCACTTATAGCATCGCCAGCAACTTCAATAACATTGACAGATGCAACAGTGGCAAGGAGCTCAGCAACATCTTCACTATCAGATTCGGAATCAGAGGAAGCATTGAACTGTTCATTAACATAAAGAAATACAAAAGGAAAATTATTCAATTATTCAAGCCTGACTATTGGATTAATGTGTCTATATGAATTTTGTCTTAGCCGTCAGTGAGTCTCAGTGCAGCGCGCCACATAAATGATAAAAAAAATGTAACATCATTAATACAAAGATAGTTTTAGATAAAATCATCAACAGATTTGAGCTATATAACTCACATCTGATTTCTATCATGTGGCATCTCAGGAGTTAGGATCTAGCAATAGACATGAAGCATTTATCCAAAGAAAAAAAGGATGTCTTGATGACATGGCATGTGGATTTCGACCCATATTGTCAGCATTACACAGCGATTTCACAATCACACATTGTCAGCATCACATGGAATTCATGATCATTTTGTGGCTGATACGGAAGTATCTTTTCTCAATAGTTCATCAGGTGCTCTGAAAAAAGATAGTATGCAGTAGCCTATAAACTGAGCTTCTTAACATGGTTCATGTTCATGCAATCACATTTTGAATAAATTGAACTACAATACACTGTATTAAACATTTAAACCCTGCACTGGAAAGTTCAATTTCATAATTAGGTAAAAGCTAGAACTATTTTGACAACGTATCACCAGGAAAAAAAAATGGAGAAGATAGGGTCGAGTTACCAGAAAGTATGGCTAAGAGATAACATTTCTTACACCAAAGCATAATTCATTAGTCCAAGCGTAGGCCAAATGAGAAAGGGGAAATATACCTCGCTTGGTGAAGACCTAATCCTCAATGATGCATTTTCTGGCAGCTTGCTACTCAGAACAGGCCAGCATGTCTTCAATTCATTATGCCTAGCCAATGTGGAATTCAAAAGACAAAGCGGCTATAGATATCCACAGAAAGTAAAGAACTAGACAGCAATATTGCATGCAGACCGTTACCGCTTGTATAACTCTCCATGTAGATTCAAATGGCTGCATCTCTGGAGCGTTGAATGTGAATTTGTCTCCCAAGAGAACTTTTGCACAAGCACAAACTGAATTTGCTATGGACCTAAGGTTATAACCTCCTTCAAGGGCCATCACTATCCTTCCTTGAGCAAATCCTAACAACTGCAGAATTTGGCATACAGATGAGAAGGGCAGGCAATGGGATTTTTTAAAGGGTCTTCTGTATAGGCTTTGCATGATATGCCCAAGGGCCAAGATGCATAGAGGAAACACTAGATAGATGAACGAAATGAAATGAAAATTCTAACAGGCATAAAAGATGCAATGTTAGAGGTTTTAGACAACTTTGATCCATTTAACCTATTCCAGTTCATCTGAACTGTTTTGAAAGTCCAAGCAACATTAATGTCTGCTTTAGGAACAGGAAAGTGCATGATGTGGTGAAAATTGAAATATGATCAAAAGTTGTTTTTTCTGCAACTCCATACCTTTGTTAGTAGCAGTGCATATCCATTTGGTGTAATGCAGCACCCACCGAGAGGATCACCCAATGCTAACGATGGAATGGAACAGAGATATCAGAATAGAATTTCAAAACCAATGAACAATAAGAACAGACATGATTGTTCACCGGCTTCGTCACTCAGGTGTGTATCACCACACCCCTCACTCACACACACACACTGGAGGTTGAAGAAGAGATCAGATCACACACACACATGAACACGTGAATTGGAGCTGCTGAACTGTGTAGCCAATGCCTTCATATAGAAGCAAAGAATTACAGAAGTCAAACTAAGGGCCATGCTGCCCGCTACTTGTTACTATGATTGCTACCTACTACTGTACATGTTACTATAGCCATACTCCCAACTACTGCTGTCCTATTGACAGGAAGGAGGGAGCAGGCACTGTTCCTATGCTCCTATGACAAAAGAGAGATGTGAGTAGCAGATTATCTATCAATGGCCTACCACAAAGGGATCTACAACAAAGATGCACCAGAACTCCAGAAGTATAGATTCTAATATAGTGTATCCACAGTTCAATGCTGAAACAAAGCTTCACAAGATTTTATAAATTCATCAGCAGAAACCTCACTTATTATGCAACAATATAATCAGGTAGATAAGTTGTACTAGTCCGAACAGTGCTCAGTTAGCCCATGGAATATTTAAAAACGCTTGCCAGCACAATGTTGCCTTGATTTACATAAATGTTTAAAGTAACAAGTTGCTAAGTTAGTGGAATAGAAGAGTTTCAAAGAACTTTACGACTACATACCTGCATCAAACCCAGCCGATACCAGTATTATATCAGGATCAAAAACTTCAGTGACAGGAAGCAGTACATGGTCCCATGCAGCAATATAATCAGCGTCACCACATTTCCCATGCTCCCAGGGAACATTGATGTTATACCCTTTACCAGCTTCTTCCCCAATGAAACAGTGAGAAGCATCCCCTTCAGCAGGATAGAAGCTTCCATAATCAAATCTACAAAACAAACATTAGAACAATAAACATTTTTTATATCTTTAGAACTATGGATATTTTATTATGGCTCCATTAAGGTGGCTACAAGCACACACTAAATTGAACAGTTTATGATCCAAGATTCAAGTGATTGTGTTGATTGCAACGATGTTCGTGTTCCATATTTTCCAAAGGACCAAAAGAAAGAAAAGAGTTGTAAATTTATGAAGATTACGATTATGCAAATCAACCACAATAACACTACTGTGAACTAAAAAGAAGTCTATCTTCTATAAGCATGCAAATAGCATACTAAAATTATAAGTTTGATATGCCATATCAGTGGAACTGGTTAGATGGTTCAAGGAGACATCTTAGACACATATCACAGGCTACAGCATGTGAAGCCATCATAAAGCTGATTCATACAACAAAAGGTCACCTTGAGTATCAAAGGCCAATGTACAAATTGGTTAGTGTGGACAGAACTGGATAGTGTCAAATAGCCATGACTAAGAATCTAAGATTGTGTGTGTGTGTGTGGCAAGTGTAAGGTGACTTTTATTAAGAAGAAAATAAGCACCGAATTTGAGAGGAAAGGGACGTAAACCTTGGTAAGGAGAATGTACGCCACACCCTCCAACTAAGTGCTAGGCTCAGTTCCTATCACTACGGTTGAAGCATTCAAGAGTACCATATTCTTACAAGCTTCAATGGCCACAGTAGGTGTTTGGTTAATAGGTTCCACGGCACAATACGTTAGGTGAAGAAATTAGATTTGTAAAACTGACCCCTGAGGTGATTGCGCAAGAACCATGCTGTTCAGCCAATCTTGGAGTGATACGACAATATGATTTGATTATTTTCATGTTGTAACTTTTTTTTAACACCGCCAGGAGCACTGGCATATCATGTAAGACTCGTATTGGACACCTATACTGACCGCACGCTCAAGTACAGATGAGACTGCCCGAGAAATCTCGGGACACGTCTACCGGGCACACACACTACTCACACACCTGCCCAGTTTCCTCAGGGGAAAAATCCCCGGTGAGGCGCGCAAGTCCGTCCCAGCCAGGGATCGAACCCACGAGCGGCCGCTTCCACACCTGGGAAGCGGACCAACTGAGCTATCGCTCGGTCCTCATGTGGAATGTGAGCACAAATCACACTGGATTGCATCGTATAATCAAAAGGCATCAAAATACAGCCTGCTTGCTCTACCCTAAACGACTCTGTTGATACCATACAGATAATCATTGGAGGTCTTAAATTATTCTATTAACTGCAAGTTTCCAGTGTTTCCTAGGAAAGTAAACCATGATATTGATATTATGGATGTTCCAAGAACAATAACTCTCCAAAGAAAAGAGGGAAAAAAACTGCCATAACTTTGCTAACATAATATTGTAATGGTACTGAAGCTACTCTGAAGTCTAAAGAGCAAAGAAATATCAGTGTGTCTTGTCAAACCTGTGAACTGAGAAGAACAATACACGAGGATCATTGTAGAACATTTTCTGTGTGCCATTTCCATGGTGAACATCCCAATCGACAATCAATATCTTCTTGATACCTAAATCAGGCTGCAATAGAAAGAACAAGGTTCAAAAGTGAACAAAACACATTATTTGATTGCGTTAGAACAAAGTATGACACTTGATTCTTTGTAGGAAGTGATGAACATAGGTACCACCTTTAAAATGACCTCCCTGCCCCCCAATATACAAACACAGAGAGAGAGAGAGAGAGAAGTTTCAGTACATACCCTCTCGTTTAAGAGATAATTAGCTGCAACCGCCACATTGTTGAAGAGGCAAAATCCCATTGCCTCATCATGTTCTGCATGGTGGCCTGGAGGTCTGACTAGAGCAATAGCAGAACTTAACTCACCTGCAGCGACTTTCTCAGCTACCTAATTGACAAATGATCCACTTTTCAGTTATTTCCTACCAATAAGGAGGGGTATAATAGCTACAGAAAAGGAGGAAATGGGCTTATGTAAGATGATGTAAAATGACCTCTATGACAGAACCAGCTGCAAGAACAGCAGATTCTGAGGAACCCTTGTTGAAGTAAATGGAATTGAATTTCCTAGCAATCTTGTTCCTGCTGGCATCATATTTCTTTGAGCTAATTTCCTTCATCAGCTTTATATGGCTCTTGCTGTGAACAGAAGCTATATACTTGTCCTCAGCTTCCTTCGCCTTAAGGGACACACACCTGGAAGAGAATTATGTTACAGTAGCATTGCAGAACCCCACCGCCGTCCTCAATATATAAGGGAAAAAACCACTACTCTAACTGGCTAAGCAAAATAGTGAATCAGATCAACATAACAAAGGTTGTAAAGCTGATGTTTAAGGTTTAGTTTGCTAGCATCGAAGTTAAAGCAAGAAGCAAGACTTGCATCTAGAATGCCATAAACAACTTAATGTTTACATCTGTAAGTGTACAATCGAAGTGACTTTTTAAGGAATCGATGCATTGTTTGAACCAAATGTTTCACAAAGTTATTTTGCTTTGCACTACTCTACATTTTTTTTTCACATGTTAGACATTTCGCATTTGATACCTATCATGAACTCCAACACCCATGGTGATTTACGCAGCCATTAGGTATATCATCAGATCGAAATGGGCATGGCCACAGCAACAACAGAGGGAGAGCAGAGTAAGTAAAAGTCATGGCGCACAAGAGGCGGAGGCTTTCGTTTCGTTCCAGGCAATTCGAACGGAAAAATGAACACCAAGGGCACCGGTGCGCCGTGCAAGCCTCACCCATCCCTACCAAAACCACGACGCTCTGAGCTCAACACAAGGGAGCGGGACAGCGGCCTCTAGCGGCATACCTGGACGCGACACCCGCGGCGTTGAGCTTGCGCCAGATGGCGCACAGCCGCTCGGGGTTCTCCGGGTGTTCCTCCCCGTCAGGCGTCGCGTGCGCGCACATCCGATCGTCGTACAGCAGCCCAACCCGCGGCGCGGCCATTGGGGGAGCCGGAGCCGGCGCGGAGACGAAGCACCGGAGCGGAGGACGCGAAAGGGGCGAGCAGGCGAGTGGAAAGTCGGGGTTCAGGCGTCCTCTCCTCTCCGACGACTCGGAGTCGGAGCACTTGATGTGAGACGTGGGTCCGACCTGGAAGTGGGTAGCGACGGGCTTTCATTTGAGCTGTGTTGGCTCGATCGGCGTCGGCGTCGAGCAGAGGCCACTCCCTCCGTCCAATATTCATCTCCCTCAATCCAAAAGAATGTTAGCCGAGATTTGAAGTAAATTGAACTTACGAAAATTTCATACTTACACGCTCTCTCCTCTTAGGTATAAAACATACACTACATATAGCCTATTTAGATACACAAGAGATAATTGTTAGCTAAGCTAAAATTAGCTCTTGCGCATCCGAATACGAGGACTAATAACTAGACTATTTTTTATTCAAACTTTCAATTGTTGTTAGCCAACTTCAACTAATTTAAGTTATTTTTAGTTCCAACCAGTAACTAAGTGATTTAAACGGCGGGAGAAAGTGCACACACCTTGGCACAAGAGTCTGACGGTGTTTAGTCCGAAACTCACTACAAATTTGATGGAGGGACTGTGCTGAAGTCAAAACTCAAAAGAGCTAGCCTCTGCAGCAACTGCATCAACTCCTTCCTCTGCATCAACTCCTTCCTAAGGATTAGATTGTATGGGACTAGCATTTGACTCTGGTGTTGCCTCAGGGCGCATTTAGTAGTGCTCCCGAAACCACTTCGGAAACCACTCTGCGTCGAGGTGGTCAAGATGCAGAGTCACTGGGGGTGCGAGGTGGTCAAGGCGAAAAGACAGTTGGGCGTGAGGCGACCGAGGGATAGGGCCTCCAAGGCATGGGGTGACCAGGACGTGTGGCCGTTGAGGAGCGGGGCCAATGGACGTAGGGCGGCCGACACGGAGCTGCCGGTGTGCAAAGGAGGGAGACAAGGAGGAAGACAGAGGCATCGGGCACCACCGCACGAGGTGTCACGATGGATAGAAGGAAGAAGAAATAGGAGAGGAGAAAATAAAATAAAGGCATTATAGACCTTTCACTATTTTTATCTAACACGTGGAGTTGTTTTCCTAAACATTTTACCAGCTTTTGCTCCACATCAACAGAGCTGCTTAAGGAAACAATAAAACCATAAAAAGCTGCTCCACCAGTAAAGCAGAGTTGTACCAAACTGCTCAAGGAATTAAAACCACGAAAAACTACTTCATCAAGCAAAGTTGTAGCAAACGGTCCTCAGATGCTGACCGTGGAGCTGAACTTTGTCCCATTCCCATCCGTGCAATTTTAAAAAAATCATGATATACTCTGCAGTAATGCAGACCTGCAGGGGCATTGAAAAGGCAACGAGCCAACGACACGCAGGCCCCTGCGGTACTGCGGAGGATCTTCAGGTGTTCGGCTGGTACCCTTGTCCACTGTAGTTCGACTTATTTTTGGATGGTTTAATAGTGTCCTGTAAGAGAATAAGCTGAAATAAGTTGAAACAATCCAAGACATGTTTCGCCGAACACGCAAACTCAAATTACACACTTTATAATGCTGCTAAAATCAAAGTCTATGAGATAAAAATACTAGTACATCATTTTCTCGGAAATTCTGTTCTTAATATATATCACAATTCACCAGCCCTCCTGTGACCATAATGAGGTTCCTTCAGGGTCCGGATTTTAATATCTTATCGCAAAGAACAGCCTGAACCTGATACCGAATATCAGCCTGTTCGGGGGGCCGTATCGTATCGTGGATTATTTACTGCTGGCTGGTTTGGTGTGAGAGAAAAACACTGTTCCCGGCTGAAAATTTACGATCGTTTACGAGCAAACGAACAGGCTGTATAAACCTCTCTAGCAATGACAAGTCACCTCTTGACCAAAGCTGTTCTGCGGCTGATAAACAGGTTGAAGCTGATTTGTTGTGAGAGAAAAACATAACATGACTGATAAGTCAGAATGATAAGTTCAAGTGAACAGGGCACTGCCACTCACGCAAACAATTTGAACTTTGTCAGTCCCCAAGTACTCAAAAACTGCTTAGCACCATGCTCACCCAGTGCTCGTAACACACCCGGTGTTACGATCTCGTTTAGCACCGCGATTTAGGCCTAAAAAAAATTTCGAATCGAGTTTTCTCGGGTTTTGATTTAAAACATAATTGAGACGATAAGCGAATCCTGTGTGACGTAGTTTCGCGGACTCAAATAAACGTCCAGGTTAAATTTTAGTGCGTAAAAATATTTAGGAATGTGGAACGATAATCCTGACAAATAAATAGTGAACGGTTTGTTCTACTAGATCAAGCAGGAAAAACAACTTTTATAAATAAAATAAAATCCATTAATAAATAGAACGATATACATATATATATAGCATTTGAATCAAATTTAAATTCGAATTTTGCTGAAATTTTCCTGTGCCTAGACGTTACAATTTGTGTAAATTAGTAAACCGTTAGATATCTATATATATATATATATATACATATATAGAGAGAGATAGAGAGAGAGATATATAGATATATAGGTATATATAAATTACGTAAAGCAAAGTGCCAGAACGAGCTCCTTTGATGATTGAACATATGTTGATTGCTATGCTCTGCTCGTCACTGTTTACGGTCATAATGTCAGCCCTGCCCATGTGCCTATGCTGCCCTTGTCTGTGTCTGTCCTCTCTGACTGTACAATTGACCGACTGCTCCTTCTTTCTTTTCTCTGCTCGTCCTTGCCTTGTCTCTCTCTGTTGTCTGCCGTGGCTGGCGAGCAAAACTTTAAGTCCCGACGTGGACATGTCAGGCCGGGTCACCTCCATGTCGGCAGCGTTGCTCATCTCCCTCTCTCTCCATGCTAGGCTTCTTGGCCCTGGCATTCTTCTTATCAATTAAAGACCGGATGTGATCGATGTAGTCATCCCAGTCAACATCACTATCATACAGACACCGGCACTCTTCCTCGGTCCAAGCTGCAGTATGGTTTGTGACAAAGACGGCCCCACCTTCTGTGATTGCCTTGCCCACCATATTTGCAAAAGCCTTGAACAATTCATAGCGCCGAGCCTTCTCCTCCTTGTTTTTGTATCTCTTGCCATACTCTGTGATCCATTCCTCGAACCGTGCCTTCATGGCCGCCTCGTCCTTCATGGCTGCCTAATCCTTGATGCCTTCACTGTTTGTCACCTCCTTGACAGCCTTCTTGCAAGACCTTTCATAATGAGCCTTCTTCTGCGCAGCAGCCATCTTCGTCGTCTCAGCAAGGTACTCCTCCAAGGAGAAGTCGTTGTCATTCTGCTCTTTGGTTTCTGCCTCTACAATGGCCCCTTGCTTCCTGGCTTCATCCCCAGCCAACTGCTTCTTTGCTTCCTGCCGAGTCACCTCCTTAATCTCTTCCTCCCCAGCCACCACCTCCCTGCTCCAGACTGCAGTGCTGCACCGCAGTCGCCGGTGCCCCGCTGCCGCCTTTGGCTCACCGCGCAGCGCGCGCGCCCCTTGGCCCCGGCAGCGTTGGTCCGCTGCCCCACAGCACGCGCCGTGGCCGCTGACCTCCCGGCGCCATTCGTCTCCGCTGCTGCGCCCCACAACACGGTACTACGTGAGCCCGAGCCCACCACCACCACCGCAGCCCCACGCCTCCTCCGCACGCTGCTGCTCCGCGGTGACTCGCCGCCGACTCCCTGCCTCCCGCGAGCGCGAGTTGTGGCTACACAGCTCCCGACGTCGCCCGCGCTGGACCGAGCCTCCAGCGCCACCGCACGCACGTCGCCGTAGCCCCGCGCGTCGTCCTACCGACCTCGCCTAGCCGGCGCTGCTGCTGCCGGTGTGCCCGCCTCTACGGCTCTCGCGGGCAGGCTGCGTGGGGACAGCTCGTTGCATAACCCCTACTTTTCTGCAGTTTAAAGTATATTTGTGCATTAAGTTTTAAGGAGTTGAATGAAACCCACTTGCATATATATCTTTATCCTATGAGTCTTACTAGTATGACAGGATCGTGTAGATTGCTATGCTATAGGGCTCCGGTAGAAGTCGAGTGATTGCCTGTCACTCGCGAGATATAGGAAATATATTATTGGATTATTATCACTTGGAAAATATAAATGGTGGAAAGGAAAAATGGTGACCGGGCAGGGATATGGTTTGTGTATTGGTGGGTGCAAGAGGTTGTATCGCCGTGGACGTGGGGCATAGCTTGGTTACACTGTTTTCCCTGTCTGTGTCGGTTAAGGACCGGTCGTTGCATAAGCCATCGAGGCAAGTCACAGACTTATTATCCCGAGCACATACTTGGGTATGGGCGCTTGGAAGACTTGTTGCTCTCTTGTCGTGGATCCGGCTCTTTCCGGACCGATTGTTAGGGTTTTATTTTTGGTGGTGGAGGTCCTTGCACCGCACTGAGTCCAGGACTCAGGAACGGGGGCTTGGAGTCCCAGTTTGGACGGGGACCTGGACACCCAGAATAGAAGAGTGATGGGTTGGTCCTGCTTGTGCCTTGGGTACAAGCGGGGCGTGTGTTTTCGGGGTACCCAGCTGGGGGCATTGATTCGCGAATCGTCGAGCAATCCAGTATGGCTTGTTTCGTGCCTAGCATCGTAGTAAGAACTGAAAGATGAAAGATGGAAGGAAAAGGAAATCTGATTGCTTACCACCTACTTGAAAGTAGTACATGTGCTTACATAGAATGGTTAGTTAATGAACCAATGCGGCTATTAATAAAAATCGAATATAAGGACGCACGCTTAGTAATGCTTCCTGCAAATGTAATAAACCCACAAGCCAGATAGTCTTGCATATCCTTGAAGTCTTTTCTTTCCTCCTGTCGGGTAAGTCTTGCTGAGTACAATTGAGTACTCAGGTTTTATTCCCTCTGTTGCAGGTGACAGGTGGATGCTAAAGCTGACTCTTGTGTGTGGATTCCTCCTGGTGGGCGCAGCGAGGATTCCTTTACGCTGCAATCGTAGTTGTTATTTATAACTCTCACCAAATGCTTTTATAAATGAAAGTTTCATAATCTATTGTCGTAGTTTATATATCAATACTTCATCATGTCATTAATAGATGTTTATTTCCGCTGTAACTCTGTTCACATATTTATATTCTGATGTTTAATTAAATTATTCATAACTCTGATAATATGATTACATTCTGCTATTATAATAATAAATGTTATACTCTGATGTTGTATTAAAAGTGATGTAAGAAATGGTTAAATGCTGTAAGCTTTATTCTCTCATTTGTGATCCTGATGGCAAAAATATGGATTTTCGGGTTCTCCCCTAGGGTGTGCCCGACGGAACCAAGTAATTTAGTGTTCTCCCCTGAGTGCTTAGTGTCTAATGGAAGACAAACACTCCTGGGAGGCATTAGATTAGGCGGTTCTGCCACAGGTGGTCTCAGAGCGCAAATGAGAAAATAAAGCTTCGAAAACCTTTTCTAAACTAAAATTTGACAACAAATTCTTTTCCAAAAAGTTCGGATGTTTGTATGCGAAGTTATACAAGTAGCCCTATTACTATAGTTATGTATTCAGGATAGATGGCACTCTGCTGACTTAGGTAGACTTAATCAATTTTTCTGCAGGTACACTGACTCGAGCATAGTTCGATAGTATCGATTAGCTACAGGGAGAGAACGATGTGCCAAAAATCTGAGACCGGTTGCCCTATATGTTGGCAACAGTGAAAGGACGTATAGGACGTGCATTCATGCATATCCTGTTTGTGCATTGTAGTGCTCGTATTACTTGTAGATACGCCATTCATAGGTGTCACGCGTGTCGTATTGTGCACGACGGACTTGTTCCTGTTCTAGAGTTAGGTCTGCACTGTGGCTTCGTGTTTCGCGTTCACCCGTGGTTCACGCCTATCGTGACCTATGTCTCCCCGTACCCTTTTTCTACGCTCTTGTCGGACATTTGCCCTGTAGTCGTACTAGTCAGTAATGGCCTCAGACGTCGCTTGCCTCGAACGCACGGAATTTGGTCGATTTGTCGTAGTGATCCCACGCGGGAACCCTGGTGGACCGCACCAGGACCACTGAACGCTCTGCTTTTATAAGCAGAGCCCGACTTAGCCCTTGGTACCACCACTCGATGCACTTTAGCTCGCTTAGCTTTTCCCTTTGAGCCAGCTTTTCGCTCAGCCTTCCTCACCACCACCGCCAGAAATGGTAGGAGCCTGGGTTAGTAGTTACTGCCTGAACGTTGAGGGGTTTTCCAAAATCCTGCATGCCACCCTGCAAAAGCTCGGAGTCAAAGATCATCCCGAGTATGAGGGCCGTGAGTATGAGAAGCATGGCACTGATCGGTGTGAGGTTACCGTCTACATCAGGAAGAGTGAAGAGTTCCCCGACCTCACTGAAGCCTGGAGTGTGAGGTATAGAGAGAGAGAGGTATAGATATATAGGTATATATAAATTATGTAAAGCAAAGTGCCAGAATGAGCTCCTTTGATGATTGGACATGTGTTGATTGCTCTGCTCTGCTCGTCACTGTTCACGGTCATAATGTCAGCCCTGCCCATGTGCCTATGCTGCCCTTGTCTGTGTCTGTCCTCTCTGACTGTACAATTGACCGACTGCTCCTTCTTTCTTTTCTCTGCTCGTCCTTGCCTTGTCTCTCTCTGCTATCTGCCATGGCTGGCGAGCAAAACTTTAAGTCCCGACGTGGACATGTCAGGCCGGGTCACCTCCATGTCGGCAGCGTTGCTCATCTCTCTCTCTCCCTGCTAGGCTTCTTGGCCCTGGCATTCTTCTTATCAATTAAAGACCGGATGTGATCGATGTAGTCATCCTAGTCAACATCACTATCATACAGACACCGGCACTCTTCCTCGGTCCAAGCTGCAGTATGGTTTGTGACAAAGACGGCCCCACCTTCTGCGATTGCCTTGCCCACCATATTTGCAAAAGCCTTGAACAATTCATAGCGTCGAGCCTTCTCCTCCTTGTTTTTGTATCTCTTGCCATACTCTGTGATCCATTCCTCGAACCGTGCCTTCATGGCCGCCTCATCCTTCATGGCTGCCTAATCCTTGATGCCTTCACTGTTTGTCACCTCCTTGACAGCCTTCTTGCAAGACCTTTCATAACGAGCCTTCTTCTGCGCAGCAGCCACCTTCGTCATCTCAGCAAGGTACTCCTCCAAGGAGAAGTCGTTGTCATTCTGCTCTTTGGTTTCTGCCTCTACAATGGCCCCTTGCTTCCTGGCTTCATCCCTAGCCAACTGCTTCTTTGCTTCCTGTCGAGTCACCTCCTTAGTCTCTTCCTCCCCAGCCACCACCTCCCTGCTCCAGACTGCAGTGCTGCATCGCAGTCGCTGGTGCCCCGCCGCCGCCTTTGGCGCACTGCGCAGCGCGCGCGCCCCTCGGCCCCGGCAGCACTGGTCCGCTGCCCCGCAGCACGCGCCGTGGCCGCTGACCTCCCGACGCCGTTCGTCTCCGCTGCTGCGCCCCATAGCACGGTACTACGCGAGCCCGAGCCCACCACCACCACCGCAGCCCCACGCCTCCTCCACACGCTGCTGCTCCACGGCGACTCGCCGCCGACGCCCTGCCACCTGTGAGCGCGAGTTGTGGCTACGCAGCTCCCGACGTCGCCCGCGCTGGACCGAGCCTCCAGCGCCATTGCACGCACGTCGCCGTAGCCCCACGCGTCGTCCTACCGACCTCGCCTAGCCGGCGCTGCTGCTGCCAGCGCGCCCGCCTCTGCGGCTCTCGTGGGTAGGCTGCCTGGGGACGGCTCGGGCCTTGCCACGGCCAGGCGTGGTCGCGTGGACTCCCCGTGCAGCTCGCCGGCGAGTGGATCGCCGCCGTCGTGCCTTTCCGGCCCCACCGTGCTGTTGCCGTCGCCGCCGGCCGGCGTCTCGCGGCGGTGCTCTGCTTTTGTGGATGACGTGAAGGGTAAGAGTCCAAGCAAAAAAATTATATAGGGTTGTTTTTGTGAAATACATGACTCATTTAAACAGTACTATGGACCTAAGGCTGAATAGGGAGAAGCGTAGGGTTCGTTTTGCGAAAATGCCGCGCCATCAGCCGTCTGGGTCGGCCTGCTGCCTACACTGCAGACTAGCTTGGCTGGGCCGCGAACGCGACTAGGCCGCTCGCGCTGCGCCCTGCCTGGGCCACTGCTTGCCTGCTGGGCCGGTCACGTGCCGCCCGCGCCGCTGGGCCGCGCCTGGCTAATGGGCCGCGCGCGCAGCTGCTGGGCCGCCGCGCCGTGTTGAGACACGCGCGCGCCTACGGGCCAAGCTTGGTCGCCCAGGTCCTTTCCTGTTGAGTTGTTTTGTTTTGTTAAATTAGCGCTCTTCGAAAATTGAAAATAAAGTGTAGAAAAATCATAAAAATGTCAAACCAGTTTTGTTAGTCTACTAAAATCATGATCTACCTACTAGTATATTTTGTTCACATAGTGTGATAATATTCTTGGAAGCTATATAATTAATTTAAGGTACTTAATATTGTAAAGTATAAACTTGTAGGAATTTTTATGATAATTGGTAATATTGTTGAATCTAAAATTTGTACAGTAGGTTCCTAGCAATATTAGGTACTCACTGTAATTTTGTAGCTCCAGAATAATTAGTTTGTTAATTAGATAATGATATCCTATTGCGAATAAAGATTAAATTGATGGAATAGGATAAAGAAACGACTTCGGTTTATATAACTAAAAGAATTGTTGGGAAATACGTCTTATCCGACAACGTGTATATGTAGCCTAATTATGGTCGTCGTTAGAACTAGCCGTTAACTTGAGAGGCGTAAATCGTACTTTACGAGTCACGATTGCAGTCGATTAATTATGTCTTTGCATTGCATCGCATTGCATATCATATAGGTACGATGATGAATCAACGAATCAATTGAAGAATGATTGAAAATCTGCAGATGATATTCTCTCCAGGAGATGATGCAATGGGCTTTCTATTCAGATGATGGTGGATGATCTGACGATGCAGATACTAACTTTTTAATATATATCTTACCCAGCTAAGCCCCGGTGCATAACCCCTACTTTTCTGCAGTTTAAATTATATTTGTACATTAAGTTTTAAGGAGTTGAATGAAACCCATTTGCATATATATCTTTATCCTATGAGTCTTACTAGTATGACAGGATCGTGTAGATTGCTATGCTATAGGACTCCGATAGAAGTCGAGTGATTGCCTGCACTCGCGAGATATATGAAATATATTATTGGATTATTATCACTTGGAAAATATAAATGGTGGAAGGAAAAATGGTGACCGGGCAGGGATATGGTTTGGGTATTGGTGGGTGTAAGAGGTCGTGTCGCCGTGGACGCGGGGCATGGCTTGGTTACACTGTTTTTCCTGTCTGTGTCGGTTAAGGACCGGTCGTTGCATAAGCCATCGAGGCAAGTCACAGACTTATTATCCCGAGCACATACTTGGGTATGGGCGCTTGGAAGACTTGTTGCTCTCTTGTCGCGGATCCGGCTCTTTCCGGACCGACTGTTAGGGTTTTATTTTTGGTGGTGGAGGTCCTTGCACCGCACTGAGTCCGGGACTCAGGGATGGGGGCTTAGAGTCCCAGTTTGGACGGGGCCTAGACACCCGAGATAGAAGAGTGATGGGTTGGTCCTGCTTGTGCCTTGGGTACAAGCGGGGCGTGTGTTTTCGGGATACCCAGCTGGGAGCATTAATTCACGAATCGTTGGGCAATTCGGCACGGCTTGTTTCGTGCCTAGCATCGTAGTAAAAACTGAAAGATGAAAGGAAAAGGAAATATGATTGCTTACCACCTGTTTGAAAGGAGTACAGGTGCTTACATAGAATGGTTAGTTAATGAACCAATGCGGCTATTAATAAAAATCGAATATAAGGACGCACGCTTAGTAATACTTCCTGCAAATGCAATAAACCCACAAGCCAGATAGCCTTGCATATCCTTGGAGTCTTTTCTTTCCTCCTGTCGGGTAAGTCTTACTGAGTACAATTAAGCACTCAGGGTTTTATTCCCCCTGTTGCAGGTGACAGTTGAATGCTAAAGCTGACTCTTGTGTGTGGATTCCTCCTGGTGGGCGCAGCGAGGATTCCTTTACGTTGCGATCGTAGTTGTTATTTATAACTCTCATCAAATGCTTTTATAAATGAAAGTTTCATAATCTATTGTCGTAGTTTATATATCAATACTTTATCATGTCATTAATAGATGTTTATTTTCGCTGTAACTCTGTTCACATATTTATATTCCACTGTTTAATTAAATTATTCATAACTCTGATAATATAATTACATTCCCTATTATAATAATAAATGTTATACTCTAATGTTGTATTAAAAGTGATGTAAGAAATAGTTAAATGCTATAAGCTTTATTCTCTCATTTGTGATCCTGATGGCAAAAATGTGGATTTTCGGATTCTCCCCTGGTGTGTGCCCGACGGAACCGAGTAATTTAGTGTTCTCCCCTGAGTGCTTAGTATCTAATAGAAGACAAACACTCCTGAAAGACTTTAGATTAGACGTAGTACTGCGTATATATTTACACAGGCTTTGGGTCCGTTTGGTAGCGCTGGCCACAGCTCCGCCAAAACATCCATTGCTCCATCCGTCAGGCTGTTGCAGAAATGAATGCTGGCCAATATGCGCCAAAACTGCAGAAAACAAGAAATGTGCCACATGTTTTTTTAGTAAGGAACATGCCAGTATGCCACATGTTAGAAATCTGTCAATGCTGCACTTGTACAATTTAGCAAATAAAGATTTACCAAACAATAACACACCACAACCGTGAGCTGTAGAGAGTAAACTTGAGGCACCAATCTGATTGGTCCCGATCACTGGAATCCACAGGTGGTGCAGAATTTGAAATATGAAGCATGCTCAGAATTTGGGCTTGTGAAGTTGCACAACAGGAGCTTAGAGTCCATCACATATATATGGAACTAAATGCCCTAAATACAGAACAAAATACAAGAAAAAAAATCTGATTCTAATAACAAGATATTTAATTTACAAAAAAAAGCATTGCAATTGAATTAAAAAGGGATACAAAATTGTAATCTTCGTACCAGGCTCAGCAGTGAACACAACTACACACATGCTGCCACTTAAATCGTGACCATAATTACAACCCCGTACAACTGCATCCTACTGTCAAGAGTCATATGCACAATGGATGCTGTCATATTTAGTAACTAATAAATAGATATTTAGCAGTAGAATTCTGAACCAAATAAGATAATTCCACAGGAAACAAGATTACAGTGTAAAGGAAGAAATATTTGATGAATAGGGCAGGAAGTATGAATTGTTGAAAGCAACAAAAAAGAGAGGCATCAAGCATGAAAGCTCACCTGACTCTCCAGATTGCACTCCTACATCGGATATCAGCTTCGCCACATTGGTGAACCAGAAAAATATATATATATGACACCTCGCTACATAGAGTAGCATGCCATGCCAAAATTATTGGTCATTTAAAGACTCGAGAACAGCTCTAAAGCTCTAACTGATCAGATGTATAACACTAACTCCTTGAATATGATGAACGAAAAGTGTGCTTTTTAAAAGCAAAGAATGAAGAAGCATTTAGTCATGAATTGGCCTCTTTTTTCATGTTCGTTACTTGATTTAATCTGACTTCGCCATTTACTGAACATAAGTCAAATGAAAATGGACTGACTACCCAATGGTCAGCTAATTTTGTTTTGGATTCCACTCAGATTTTGGACGACTAGATGACTGGCACATCATTATGTATATTTTTTTAGAACCAAGACAACAAAGTTGACCACTTCCTAAGAGTGTTTCAGTCAATTTTTTTGATCCCACCAACAGCCTGAAAAGTGACCGCAATTTGGTTCAAGTGCAGTCAATCTTACATAGTAGTAGTAGGCAAACAAAAAATAGAGCAGATTTCTTTATATGTCCATCAATAACTTTTATCAACTAGAACAAGGACAACTTCCTCTGTTTTGAACTACTACCTCCATTTTAAATGTACGATGTTTAAGAAAAGCTAATTAGTTCAAACGTCATATATTTTAAAAAAGGGTGTACTATCTAATTATGCAGTTATTTTTTTTTTTGGAAACGAACGGCAGGAGCTCTGCCTCTCAATTAAGGAAGGAATAAAGAAGGTTTATGTACAACCACAGCCTGATGAGCTGTGCAAACGAACAGGGGTAAAAAAAACCCCAAATCACGTATACAACCAGAATAGCCGGCTTGCTAGCCCCCTCCCTGGAATGCCCCTTGCAACGCCCTCTTCCTTTGCTCAATGTCTTCTTTAATTCTTGAAGCCACCTGCAATGGCGATTCTTGAGCGTTATTGAAAATTCTTCGGTTTCTTTCCTTCCAAAGGTTCCAGCATGTGTAGATCACCAAACCATTGAAGCGCCTTCTTTCATCCTTAGTGACCTTAGTAGCGGTCTCCTCCCACCAGGTGCCTAAATGGACGGGGTCTCTAGTGAACTGTGTGAACTGAACATCAAATTGTTCCCAGGTTAGGATTTGATTCCAAACCGCTTTGGCGAACGGGCAAAGTATAGATAGACGAAGACAAGTCTCCAACGGCCCATTGCATAGTGCACAGTGATCTTGATGCGGCCACCCTCTTTTTTGCAAGTTATCCGCCATGAGAATTTTCTCTTGCACTAGTATCCAAGCGAAAACTTTGCATTTATTTTCCGCCTGTGCTTTCCATATTAGCTTGTTTTGGAAACTAGCATAGGAACCCTTGAATTGGATCCTATAGGCGGAGCGAGTGGAGTAAGAACCGTCAGCTGTCCATCGCCAAACAATGGAGTCCCGCACGCCCGGCAGCAGGTGTACGCCTTGGATTCTGATCCAGAGGGAGACAAATTCCTCTAGGTGCTCGGTGGTCGTGATTCGACTCCTAAGGGTGTGTATCCAGCTGTTGTTTCGAAGCTCCTGTTGAACCGACTTGTTTTTCCTCCTTACCAATTCAAATAGGTGTGGAACGAAGTTCCTGGGGGCCTCACCGTCAAGCCAGTTATCATGCTAGAATTTAGTCTTTGCTCCGTCACCAATGGAGATCGTTGTTGAGGCTTTGAAGAGTAAGCGGTCGGCTTCATTGCAAGGCAGCTCCGAGCCAGCCCATGGTTTGGAATCATCGGTCCATTCCTGCCATAACCAACGAAGGCGCAGGGCTCTGCCAAATTTGTCCAGGTCTGGAATCCCTAAACCACCAATATCTTTGGGCCTTGCAACCGTTGGCCAGTTGACAAGACAATGGCCTCCATTTGCGTTCTCTTCACCTTTCCAAAGGAAGGATCTTCTGATCTTATCGATTTTCCTCCTTGCCCACGCCGCTATAGGAAACACGGTTAGGTGGTAGGTTGGCATGGACAAAAGCACCGAGGAGACGAGTGTCAAGCGGCCCGCTCTGTTTAACCACCTCCCTTTCCAACCAGAGAATCTTTGGCCAATGCGTTCGATGAGGGGCTGCACATGAACCTTCTGGAGCGTCCTCGTGTGCAGCTGCAGTCCTAGGTACCGACAAGGGAAGGTGCCTCGAACACCGGTGAAGGAGGAGAGAACCTGCCCTAGGTCAATCTCCTCACACCTAATCGGGTGTATGGAGCTTTTCTGAAGGTTAATGTGCAGGCCTGAGCAATCCGCGAACGCTTGCAAAATTATTTTGACAGCTTCCATGTCGTCCTTTGAGGGGTTAATGAAGACCGCCGCATCGTCCGCATACATGGATGTTCTCCATCTAGCAGCAGTTTGAGGCAATGGGGAAAGGATCCCATGCTGGGTCGCTAGATCAAGCATGCGCTGTAGAGGGTCCATGGCAAGGATGAAGAGCATGGGGGAGAGAGGGTTGCCTTGACGCACACCTCTGCCGTGGTAGAAGCTTGGACCATGTTGCCCATTGAGTAGTACCCTCGAAGTGGATGTACGAAAAAAGATGGAAATCCACTCCCTCCATCTTGGCCCAATGCAGTTATTTGTTTTGGTAATTACATGTAGGAACCCTGCAACAACTGAACAAGACATCAAATTAAAAGCGTGTCATCTAAAATTATGTCTCAAAGAGGAAGCAATACTGAAAAGATTATTACTCCTACAAGGTAACTAAAAACTATACAGAATCCTAAAGAATAGAAACACACTTACAGCTAGCATGATTCTCCCAACAAACAAAACAAACCGATGGAATAATCAGTACAACAACAATAAAGACAAAAAGGGGAAATGAGCGCATCGAGAGAAGAACATCATAAATCATGGGAGAGACAGTAAGGACGCAAAATCGGCTGAAATGACAAATTTAATTAGCCGACCAATGTTTAGCGATTCCCAATAAAAGTAATTCGAATTTTTAAGGACAAAATCATCAATAACAGAATAAAACACTGCAAGAGGTGGGGTTACATCATAAAAAAATATATGTTGGCAAGTAAGCTGTAATGTAAAAATTATATAAAATCACAACAGGCAGAACTTATAAAGACACTGCCATAATGGCGATTATCATCAATACTGAAACTTTTGTCAATGTCAGATAATCTAAAGCAGTTCAATTTTTATTGAAAACATGGGCTGCGAAAGCATACACCTTATATTTTGGTACATAGAACCCAGAGAACAAAAAAGTAACAACACTCACCTGCAGAAATTTAGCACGATCCACGCCCATGTGAAAATGATTTCTATGAATTCATCAAATATCAACAATCTTTTTCTCAAAGATAGTATGCAGCCCTCTCTGTGTACAGTTCAGTAGATGTATCGTCATTATAGTGTATCTACATCTAAGATTTCAACCATTTGAAATCAGTTCTGAAATTACTTGCTATCTTCTACTCCCTTTTCTACTCTTACAATTGTCAATGCCAAAAGGATGTGTCCTTAATAATACTCTGTTGAAAAGAATTTGCAGTTGATCTTACAGCTGAAGATAGTGCCCTGTACCATTGATGCAAGCAATCATGAGTGTTATTTCTTCTTAACAATTCTAACCTTCTAGCCTCACTCTTTGTAATTCCACTTCTTACTAGAATAACCCTTAGTGCCTGGAATGTTGTATCATTTGGTGGTGTGTTGGATGCCAACATCTTTGTAAATATTTTAAAAGCCTCCTCCATTCTTCCACTAGATACGTACATTTGGATTACAGAATTGTAGCTTAGTAACTAAGTTAGAAGTCCTAAAGCTAGCATTTCCTTGCAAATCATGTGAGCTACATCATAGCGACCAACTTTCTTGTACATACACACCATCATTGCATGTGAGAATTCATTTGCACTTCCCCTGACCTTCAAACTTTCAAAAACCTCACGTGCTTCCTTCACCATACAATTATCACTGTAGAGATCAATCATGCAATTAGATGCATAAAGGATGGCATCCGTATCCAATGCTCTGAATAACTTATATGTTTTTCGGGCCTCTGCAACATACCCTACTTTTGTGTATAGCTTTATCAAAGAATTGTAGATCGCAACATTCTCACATAAACCATCCTTTTTCATTAAACCAAAATATGCTGAAGCTTGTTGAACATTTCCAATTTCAGCATATGCATCAATTAAGATAGAGTAGAGGAAAACATCAGCACAGACCCCTGACATGATCATTTCTCTAAATAGGTATTCAGCCATTCAGAGATCACCATTCTTAGCAAAGCTACCAATTACCACAGAGTATGGGACACAGTCTGATAGCAATTTCACCGCTTTCATTTTTTCCAAGTAGTAAATAGCCTTCTTTGGCCGTTTACAGTTGACAGAAGTTGAATGAGAACTGTATGTCACGTAATCTGGCAAAATGCCACACCTCTCCATGCCATCAGCTATCTCACATGCCTCATCAAGCTTCTCGACCAACCCATATGCTTTGATCATAACATTGCACGCAGAAACACTGAGCATCTTCTTCTTTTGGCAGCATATAAAAGCCTTCTCTGCAAGAACTATGTATCCTTTCTCTCCAAATGCATCAATATTTGCAGAAAAGCATTCAGAATTCATATGGTGATGGAACCTGTCAAACCAACACCAAGCTTGCTCAAGCATTCCAACATTTACATACATCCTTGTCAAAGCAGATTGTGTGTATTCATCGCCCCTCTCATCCATTTCCTTTAGAAGGGCTTCCGCTTTAGTGACCATGCCCTTGATAGAGTATCCATATAAGAGTGTGTGGCAGCTCACAACATCTGGTACCAAGTTTTCTGCTTTTATCTTCCAGTAGTAGTACTCTGCACTATCAATATCATTGCTTTCTCTGTACAGTGAGATCAGTATATTGTAAGTCCTAGTGTCAGGAAAGCACTGGAAATCCTCCATCATTTGACCCAAAGAAGCAACTTGCTCCATTCTGTGATGCTTACCCCAAGCATGGATCATTGAGTTAAATGTGACAACGCTTGGCGCAACACCTTCTCTCAACATTTGGTTGAATGTATCTGATACTTTCTCAAGATGACCAGCTTTTCCATAAGTATCAATCAAGGTGTTATAAGTATATAAGCTATAGTGAGGATAAGGACGTCCCTCCATCCTTCTAATTCAATCTGAGGACCACCTTTTGAAGAATAGCTCAGCTGTTTCATACTCTCCAGCCTTCTTATGCGCCTGCATCACAATACTCACAGTGACCTCATCAGGCATCAGACCACGCTTGCACATGTCTCCGAGCCAAACCAAAGTCACCCATCCTCTTCCCCCTTTGCAACACACATTGATCAGTGTACCATATGTTGAGTTGTCAGGCGCCACACCAAAGGTATGCATCTCATGCCACAGCCTAAGAATGAGGTCCCACCTCCTCACCTTTCCAACGTTATGGAGCACAACATTGTAGTGAATCACATTAAGCTCATGGCCCTGCTCCCTGTGAAACCAGTCAAAGATCTCAGACCGTCCGTTGCCAATCTTTCTGCTCCTTGAGGATGATCGTCCTCTCCCTGTTGCTCAGGGTGTCCTTCCACGCCCAGAGCGCCTCGCCGACGTCCTGGATATGCTCCAGTGCCTCCAGCATTGCTGGAAGCGACCCACCGTAATGGACCTAGTTGCCTTTCTTCTTCTTCTTCCCTCTGATAGTCTGTTTGGGAACCGTGGATGGAACTACCAACTCCGGGCAAATTTCAACAGTCCTGGCTGGCGCAGAGACTGCATTGATCTGGAATTTGAGAACATTCGAGGGTGCCGGAGCTGTAAGATTCGGCAATCGAGCCCGTGGCTGAGCGGGAACTTTGAGAAAGCAATCGCACGGGGTCAGCATCTGGCCCTGCCCTTGTCCACCCTGAAAAAAAGTTGTGCCGTTTGGACAACAGGATATGAGGGCTAGAGAAATGAGGAGGGATGGAAAGCTCATCCGCTGTTTGATTCATGGGAGAGGAAAATGGGAGGAGGGGAAAGGGAAATGCGGACCTCTGGCGCCGGGACAGCTCAGCTCCGCACGCGGCCGCAGGTTAGTGCCCTCTGGTGCGCTCGGCCTTCGGTGTGCTCAGCCCGGAGCCGCGCTCACCTTCCACACGACGGGTCGCCGGAGTCGCCCACACCTAGCTCGCGCGCGCGGGCCGCCGGAGCGGCGCGTGTCAGGCCGTCGGAGCCCGCGCTCCTTCCACAGTTCCACGCGTGGGGCCACCGAAGCCGCGCGAGCTAGGACTCGGAGCTGTCGCCTCCCGCCCGGTGAAGAAGGGGCATGACTGGGAGACTTTTCAGTATGTCTTGATTATAAAAGATCGTGTCCTCTGTCTTTCTTGGAAAAATTCAGTGATCTTGATCTTGCTCTTACTTTAACTTTTTCGGGTCCTCCATGCCACTTCCGTCAGTTCAAGCTCTAACACCGTCAAACTACAGGTGTGAAAAGACGAAAATGCCTTTAAGTTTAAATATGTTATTAATTTTTTTTGAGCATCTTAACGACTTCAAATGAAAAAACTCAAAACTAGAAAGTTGTAGATCTCGTCGAGATCTATAATTTTCATATAAATTTTTTTTTCATTTAATTTCGCAAAAAAAATATGATGATTTTTTCTAAGATATATTAATCATATCAAATCATATTTTTTGCGGAATTAAATGAAAATAATTTTTATATGAAAATTATAGATCTCGACGAGATCTACAACTTTTTAGTTTTGAGTTTTTTCATTTGAAGTCGTTAAGATGCTCAAAAAAATTAATAACATATTTAAACTTAAGGGCATTTTCGTTTTTTCACACTTTACAGCTTGACTAAGTAGAGCCTCGAATCGACGGAAGTGGCATGGAGGACCTTAAAAAGTTGGAGTAGTGGCGCCAAGACCGCTGAATTTTTTCGTGAGGCACACACAGGATTACGATCTTTTATAATGGCACATGAAAAAATCTCCATGATCTGACGATGACGCTGGGGGAGGGGGGGTGTGTGGAGGCGGTGTCGCGCCGTGGCGCTGGTGAACTCGGAGGACCGTCATGAAGGCGTCTTGCTGAAATCCAGGCCGTGTCCGCCTGGGCGTGCGTGAGATTGCTCAAGTGGGCCGGCCCGAGTTGGGCCCAACTGCATTTTAAGTCCAGAAATTTTAAGCTCTAGCACCTCCTGGCATCATGCTGCAGATGCATGTTTAATCATTTTAGAACAGCAAAGGTAAAGCATGGTACATGTCAACTAGCAATCACAAGAGCATGATATCAAGACAAGCATACATGCACGATATCATGGCATAACCGACAAGCATCCACGATGACCACAAGATATGATATAATATTATATATACAAATATATATACACAAGAGAGCACGTCATGACATCTCAAACGTAGCTGCATACGCATGAAAGATGATGGAAGCATTGTAGTCCATACAAAGAACCAAAATGATACGCTACACAAAAGCTCCCCCTAAATTCCATACTTACACGCTCTCTCCCCCTTAGGCATAAAGCACACGCTACTTATTTGGAGGCGGCCGGGAGAAAGCGCAGTACAACTTGGCACAGGAGTCTGACAGTGTTTAATCCAAAACTCACTGCAATCTGCTGTAGTGACTGTGCCGAAGTCAAAACTCAAAAGAGCTAGCCTTTGCAGCGACAGCACGCTATGGGACTCTGGGCGGCTGATTCTGGTGCGGCCTCAGGTGCTGACCCTGGAGCTGAACTCTGTCCCTGAAGAGATATGAGCCTCACGGTCTGCAGTACTAGGAGAGTAGCTGTCCTGAATCATTTCAGGAACAAGATCCTCTGGGGAACACAGCATAGGCGACTGGACTGGTTCTGCCTGAAACTGTCATCGTGACAGCTATGTGGTAGAGACCCTGTAACTGTAGTCCCGGGCGGTGCCTGAGCTGACTCGACTGGAGCTGTCTGCGCCAGTATTGCTGATGCTACTGCAGCTTGACCCTTCTGACAGACTGACCCAGGCGTCTCAAAAGACAAAGAGACTGAAGGAAGGGTGGAGATCACAGTAGGAGCCGCAGGTGGTTGTGTGCGCACTGGGAATAGCCATGACGACACTGAGGGTACAGCAGGCTGTGAGAACATTCGGGCACTGAAGAATGGAACGCTACCAGGTACAAGAGACTGCAAGGGAGGAACTGGGCCTGGAGAGATATTCGGTGCTGCAGGATGGTGGATGCTGGTGGACTGGAAGTGATAGTTGAACATGCGTGCCTGGTACTCTAGATCCCTCTGAAATGAATCCTGCGAGGCCTGCATCCTCAACCTCAGCTCCTCCATCTTCAACGTCAGCCCCTGCGACTCCTGCAGCAGGGTCTCAAACCTATTCCACTTTTTGGAAGGACCTGTAGTTGTGGTGGTAGCCGAAGGAATGGAATTAGTAGGTCCTAACTGAACTGTCCCTAAGTCTCTAGCCTTTACATCATGCGAACATCTGACCAGCTTTGTTGGGGGAGGAAGGGTGGAGATCACACTAGGAGTCGCAGGTGGTAGTGTGCGCACTGGGAATAGTAATGACGACACTAAGGGTACAGCAGGCTGTGAGGACATTGGGGCACTGAAGAATGGAACGCTACCAGGTACAAGAGACTGCAAGGGAGGAACTGGGCCTGGAGAGATATTCGGTGCTGCAGGATGGTGGATGCTGGTGGACTGGAAGTGATAGTTGAACATGCGTGCCTGGTTCTCTAGATCCCTCTGAAATGAATCCTGCGAGGCTTGCATCCTCAACCTCAGCTCCTCCATCTTCAACGTCAGCTCCTGCGACTCCTGCTGCAGGGTCTCAAACCTAATCCGAACTGTCCCTCATGAGAACATCATGCGAACATCTGACCAGCTGGGTAAAAATTCTGCTATTACTAAGAGTAAGAATTCAGCGACTAACAAGTGGTATCAGAGCCGTACTATCCTCTAGCCTGTACATCTCCTGCTCATCTCCTTTCCGAGCCGCGCAATAGCCCCAGTGGGCAAAGCGGAGCAGCTCGCCGCCGCTCGCCACTCCTCTCCCTCTCGCAGCTTATGCAAACAGCCCTCTCCCCAGCAGCAGCCCCCCGTGGCGCGCCATGTCCATGGCAGGCGCTCTCGGTGCTTTCGGTCGCCTCGAGCATGTGGCGTCGGCAGAGGCCGAACTTGCCGCGCAGCAGAGAACGCGAAGCGAAGGCGGCGGCAGACGCCGCGCGCAGGCGGCAAGAAGCGGCGCCGAGGCGTGCAGCGGAGCGGCAGCAGCTTAGAGCGGAGGCGGCGCGGATGCAAATGCGTCGGCAAAGCAGCAGAGGTCGAGGCTCTGCGCGGCAGCATCAGCAGCTCCGTTCTGCCGACGCAGCCGCCGACGCGACCTCGAGATCTTTGAGGAGGGAGGCGTAGCAGAAGCGCTGGGGCGCGATGGCGCAACCGCACATGCCCACGAAGCGCGGTGGCAGCCTGCGATACGGGCGGACGCGCCGGCGGCGCGCTCTCGGAGGCGGCGCGACGGCGGTGGCGCTCTGGAGGAGGCGCGCACGACAACGGTGGCGGACGGGTCGATGGAGAGCGTGGCCTTCACAGGCAGCGTGGCTCTCTCTCCCCGGATCGGTACCATGGTTACCACGGGCTCCAGGCTGTTGTCAGGGACGTCGGCCCCGGCGGTGAGTGGCCTACCCTCACTAAGACCAACTACGTCGAGTGGGCTGCGGTGATTAGGGTAAAGCTCCTGGTGCGGCACATGTGGGAGGCAATCCGGTACGCGCGACGTCGACTACGACCAAGATCGATGGGCGTTGGACGCCCTCATTGCTGCAGTCCCGTCCGAGATGCAGTTCTCGCTTACCAACAAGTGGACTGCCAAGGAGGCTTGGGACGCCATCGCTGCGACACGCATCAGCAGCGACCGCGCCCGCAAGTCCACACTGCAGGCACTTCACAAGGAGTGGGAGAACCTAGCCTTCAAGCCAGGTGAGGACGTTGATGACTTTGCTCTCCGTCTCAACACTCTGTTGCAGAAGATGGTGCAGTTCGGCGATGACACCTACGGCGAGGAGAGAGCTGTCGAAAAGCTCTTCCGCTGCGTCCCTAAGAAGTACAAGCAGATGGCTCGCTCGATCAAGTCCCTGATGGATCTCTCCATGATATCGATCGAGGAGGCGATAGGTCTCCTCAAGGTTGTCGACAGCGATGAGCCACAGTCTCTCGGGGCCCATCACCACTAGCGGGAAGCTCCTTCTCACTCGGGAGCAGTGGGCTGCCTGCCAAGGTGACCGGAAGAAGGGGGAGCCTTCTTCCGCGACAGGCGGCCGCAAGCGTGGCAAGGCGCGTAGAGACGCCCAGGCCGGGGCGCGAGGACATGCCGAGGGGGATGCCCGCGGAGGCACCCAGGGCGGCGCCGTCGGCAAGCACAAGCCGGCACGAGACGACACCAGCCGCAACTGTGGCCAGCTTGGCCATTGGGCCAAGGACTGTCGACAACCACGACACGGCCAGGCCCACGTCTCACAGGCGGAGGAGGAGGAGCCGGCTCTGTTCATGGCACATGCAAGCATCGAGCTACCTCCAGCGGCACCGGTCGCAGCGGCTGTCCTCCACCTTGACGAGCCAAAAGCACACGCCCTCCTCGGCGATAGCTCCAG